TGGCACTCAGCACCATCCCCATAGCCACTCCAAAATGCTACCATGGGCGATTATATTGAAATCCCCCGAGAGATCAAGAATGGATGCACTACGCTCATCCTGCTTTCACTAGAGATTTTCCACAAGCATAATCAATGCCATTTCCATCCCACAACCTAGTCTGAGACTGACTGAAAGGGATCCAGATAATATGTTTTATCCAGGACTCTCTGAAGCTGCAAGGCAACCACTTTTTCCATCACCTTCCCTAGAAAATGGATGTGGGACACTGGGTGAAAGATGTCAAGGGAACATGGGTCCAGTGATGATTTCTTGAGGAGGAGGCACATCATGGCCTCCTTGAACAATGCCAGGAATACTTTCTCCTGCATCAACGCATGAATCACCAATTGGACCCACCTGCAGGTCACAATCCTGAGGACTTTCACCAACCAGGAGGAGCAGGGATCTAATAAGCAGGTACTTGTTTTAACAGCCCCAAGGATTTTCTCTACTTCCTCAGTTCCAACAGGGTCAAACCATTCTCAGATAATCTACCTAATCCATTCCTCAGGTATCTCAAACAGACTTGCTCCACACTTGGACTCAAACTGAGAATGAAACTGAGCAATTTTATCCATCAGGTGTTCAAATTCCTCTGCATGGCTGTGCAAATGATCGTCTGAGCCCCCCTTCCCACGGGACCAGGTGACCTTGAACAGGGCCATTGGGCAACACTCTGCCAATGCAATAAGACTAGAGAAACAGTGACATTTCACCACTTTTACCACCAGAAAGTAGGCCTTAATTGTGGCTCTTACCTGTATTGGGTGGACTTCGTTCTTTACTCTAGTAGTGTTCTAGCTGTCTGTTGAACCTTTTTACCCTCAATCTCCTCCATAAATCACGGGGAGTTTTGGGACCGATGGGCCTCAAGGGGGCACATGAATGTGATCCTGTCCAGAGCCTCGGCCACTTTCGGATTCCAAGTTGTGGCCAAGGCTTCCATAGGACTGTGCAGCAGAACTCCCAGAATATCCTTCTAAAGTCCTTCTAAAACCCAAGTGGGACCATTAGTTGCCAAGGGCAACTTGAATAGGTCCTGTCTCTCTGTGGACAAGACAGCACTGGAAAATCTCACAGCCACCAGGGTGTGGTCTGACCATGTCATGGCAATAATGACCGATTCCCCACCATCATGTTGCCACTGCTCCAACAGGAAAATCATATCCAATGTGACTGCTATCCTGAGTTGGACCTTGGATGAACTAGGATAAGTCCAGGGCTGCCAAGGTGGCCATGAACTCCTGGGATGCCTCTGAAGCCAAGCCCATGGATGGCAGATTGAAGTCCTCTTGGACCATAAACATGGCGAACTCCCCTGCAAGCCTCAAGATGGCCTCTAGCAATTCAGACAGGGAGGTTGATATGCAACAAAGAGGCTGGTACACCAGCTCCCAACTGATCTCATATGTCCAATTGTTATTATTGTTATAAAAATACAAATCTATTTCAGTATATATTAAATACCTCTAATTTTCTGTGTAGTCAAATCTGTGGAGGTTGTAGAAAGCTCTGACAAAAAAGGAAAATTCATAATTATTTCAGAAACTTTGCCAGAACTTCTTTCTAACATAGGTATATGGAGATAAAAATAATGTTGAGGGAAAACAGTCATCCTCTTTCACCAAACCACTTCACAGCCAAATTAATTTGGCTCCCAGTCATTCAGGACCCTATCACTACTGGTTAAAAGTTAAAAGTAAAGGTTGCCCTCACACATATGTGCTAGTCATTTCCGGCTCTAGGGGTCGGTGCTTATCTCTGTTACAAAGCCAAAGAGCCAGCACTATCAGAAGACGTCTCTATGGTCATGTGGCCAGCATGACTAAATGCCGAAGGCGCATGGAACGTTGTTACCTTCCCACCAAAGTGGTCCCTATTTTTCTACTTGCATTTTTACACGCTTTCGAACTGCTAGGTTGGGAGAAGCTGGGACAAGTAATGGGAGCTCATTCCATTACACGGTGCTAGGGATTCAAATTGCTGAACTGCCGACCTTTCTGATCAACAAGCTTAACCACTGTATCCCCCACTACTGGTTAAGCTCTACTGGTTAAGCACAAACAACTTCCTTCCTTTCCTTCCCTTCCTCCCTCCCCTCCTCTCTCTCTCCCTCCCTCTCTGTCATCTCACTATCCAGAGCAAAATATTCCATAATTCAATTTTATTTTACACCTTATTTAAATCAAACAACAAAGGCTAGTCATTTTTTCTTAAATCCTTACATTATTCAATGACTTGTTGAAAAGCAAAAACTCCAGTTTTCACAGTACACGCCTAGCTTAAAGACTAATTTATTTCATGAACTGCCCTTTCAGTGAACAGAAAGAAAATAAAGTTGGATGAATTTTATTTTTGTTTGCTGGTAAACACTTTACTTGTTCTATTTCTCCTTAAATTATGATGCAAGATTTAGTTTAAGTAACCATAGAAATTTAAGCAAATACCTACCAGGTGGGGGTGTGGGACCAGCAGGACCTGAAAATAGAAGAAATAACTTTGGTCTGAGTGAAGATCACAGCATACTGATGTTGATGAACAAAAGTACTATAGGCCATTCTTACTGGGCCATATGGAATGGCCATTTGAAACCTGACCTGGACTTGGCAAAGTAGCATTTTCCCCTGCCTCTGCATCACCTCTTTAACTCACCACAGCATAATGAGGCAAAGTTTTTGCTTTGCAATTCCAAATATTGCCTGGGTGAAAAAGCACATTTTAAACCGAAGCTGGAGAAACAGGACTCTGCTGACATGGTGAACAAACAATGAAGGGTTAAGAGTTAAAGAGGCAATGCGAAGGCAAGGGAAAATGCTGTTTTGCTGAGTCCAGATCGGGTCACTCCATGTGGCCCCCATAAGAATGGCCTGCAGTACTTCCCTTCCCACACCTCCTGAGTTCTGCAGCTCTACTGAAGTAAGCAAGGGATTGTGAGGGATAGAGATGGCTTTGGGGAACCGAAGAGTCAGAAGCAGATCATGGGGATATTTCAGAGGGTGGTAGAAGCCCTGGGAGGCCCAATGCAGGCATCCCTGAAGCTCCTCGTGCACATTTAAAGACCCCTGCAATCAGTCCTGCATTCATTTAATGTATGCAATGGGGTGATCAACAATGAGGGCTCTTTCACATAATGACTTTCAATTAATATCATCTGGCCTTATGACCAAACTGGGCAGGCTCCATTATGGTAGGTCAAGGACTACATGTACATTATCAATGAAGATTCTCTGAAAATTTTATGCATAACAGCAATTAGGATTCTTTGCGATTCCATTCAAGATCTCCTACTTAGGCGGTATCATACTTTGGCTTTCTAATGATAATATTCTACCTGGCAACAGTCACGTTACATTGACACCTGATTGTTAAATTATTCTTTGAGTACACTTTTATAATATAAACCAAGTCAAACATCACAACACTTGAAAACTGAGCAGTTCAGGTTACCTGAGCAAATAACTCCAGCATCTTCCTTGTGGCGACAGTCATGAACACCCCAAGGTTT